TGTTAGCACCCTGGGTACAGTGTTTCTCATGACGGAGAATTGCACTGTGCTGTGTATGGATTGCCTTCGGAGGTTGTCATCAGAAAGACATTGAAACTTTGCAAGGCAAAACTTGTCTTAAACAAAGTTATTTCTGTCAATAACTGACATAAAAATTTTCACTTCATTATCTCCAGAATGAGGCCTGGCTCCCCAAGGCCTGTGACTGACCTCAAGGAACATCTTGCAGTCTTACGAAAAAAATGACCCAGCAAATGTTCTACCTAAAATGAAGTCTAATTTTAGGTATCTTTTAGAGAAGGAGTCAGTGAGTCCATGGTTTTTTTTTTTTTTTAGCCAAATGCAAAGTAATGGATTTGAACATTAATTGTTGCATTTACACACATGCACATACAATTTTTCCATGATGTAAATTATTTACATTCTTAGAACCAATTCAATCCATTTCTGTTCTATTTGATAATATGATAATATAGCATTGGCATTTTCAAATTTCTAGGTTTTTTTTAAGAATTAGTTTATTAACTTTATTTATTTATTTATTTACTTACTTATTTTAATTTGACCAGAGAGGGACAGAGTGGGGGGGGGGTGAAAAAGCAAGCCACCAGATCCAAGACTTGAACCGTGGTTGGCCATGTGGGAGCCCAGTGTCCTTAACCACCCTAGGTTTATTCAGCACTGCAGAAGGCAGAGCGATTATAAAGATGCCTTTCTTCTCCTAACACCTTAGAGATGTTCTGTTGTGTGTACACACATGCAAATACCCCACTACCTGGGGCCAGTCACTCTCACTTCCTCTTTCATTACTTGTCTGCCTTAGGATGAAAGCCTGCAGTGACAGCGAAAGCCAGTTAGTAGAGGAGTGCTGACACGTGGAAGCCAGTGGTGGCGTTGAGAGGGGACATGGTGAGGCCTGGCAGCATCCTCTATCTTAGGCTTCTGAGTGAGAGTATGGTTCAGTGGGAAGAGCTCCGCTCCATGGTCTTAGATAGATTGGCCCAGGCCCAACACCTAGTGCATATCCTTCAACTACCTTAACTCCCCCTTTCAAAAAGGTGAGGAAAGGCCTTTTTTTCTAACATATTTTAGTTTTTCTTTAAAAATCATCTTAAGCACTTCAATGCTCAAACTTTTTTTTTTTTGAGAGTTTCTTGTTATGGGCGCGTGCACTCACCAGAAAGAGAGAGACAGACAGACAGAAAGCGAGAAATCACCCCCTGGGGGAATGGCCATGCCGCAATCCCTTCTCCTTTATTCTTCTCCTGAGATCTTAGACATGCATGCACACATGACCGGTGTGAGTTTAAGGTGCTGGGCCCAGGACTCAAACTGTGGTCTACTGCATGGGAGTCCAGCTATGTAGCCATTACATCATCTGTTGGTCACCAAGTTTCAGTTCTTAACATATACATTATCTGGGGGCCAGCAGGTGGTGTGATGGTTAAGATGTTAAACTCCCATGTGGCAGACCATGGTTTGAGTCCCAGCCCTGGCATCTTGCTTTCTCACTTTCTCTCTGTCTATCTCTGGTGAGCACATGTGCCCTATAGCAAATTTATAATAATAATAATAACAATAAGTATAAATTAATAATTCTTAAAGAAAAAAAACAACACCTTATCTTAATACGTTAGTTGCTTGGCCATTTTTAGTGTTGGATGGGAACGTTCAACAACACAGCAGTCTTTTAATTATAAGTAGATTTTGTGAGAAGACTTTAATCTTCAGAAACTTCCTCTTCTTTACAATGAAACCTGGTGAACGGATGGGAAGGTTCTGTTGAGAACAGCAGTGTTTGTAGTTTCCGACGGACTTCTTACCTGTGTTCCCCTGATCTTATCCGAAGCTGCTCATGTTTCTCACCTGGAAAATGTGTCCGAGGAAGAAATGAACCGACTTCTGGGGATCGTGCTGGATGTGGAGTATCTTTTTACCTGTGTCCACAAGGAAGAAGATGCAGATACCAAACAAGTTTATTTCTACCTATTCAAGGTGAGATTTTTTTAACCAGTGAAAAGGCCTTTTTTCCCTTTTAAACTCATTGTTCAGGTCTGCTCCGTTTCCATATGCCAGGCCAGGGGCGTGAAGGCTCTCAGCTCTCAGCAGATTCTGTCCCCAGGGTTTTCCGAAGCCTGCCTTTCTTCAGGACAGATCCTCCAGGACGTCACTGAATTTTGAGCTCTTCACTCCCCTCGAGGGCATGCCAGGCCAGGGGCGTGAAGGCTCTCAGCTCTCAGCAGATTCTGTCCCCAGGGTTTTCCGAAGCCTGCCTTTCTTAAGGACAGATCCTCCAGGATGAGTCACTGGGCTTTGAGCTCTTCACAGCCCTTGAGGGCATGCACACTTGCATGCAGAGTGGAATATCTGTCTGCACACGCACGTGGGTTTCTTCGAACCACCTGACAGATATTTCCTGCACGCCTGCCCTGTGCATGGCACGGACTCCCCTGGAGTTCACACCGCAGCAGGCCAGGCAGTCCCCAGGTAACAAGTGCTGTGATGAGGCGGGTAGGGGAGACACAGGGCAGGGGTTGTTGTGGTGGTGGACTCGCTAAGAGGAGGGCAGCCCTCCTGACCCTGGGTGACCACGGTTGCACAGAGACTTGAGGTAAGGCAGGAGCTGTGAGGGCGGAGGAAGGACAGGCATCCAGGCCGTGCAGTAGGGGTGACCTTGTGTGGGGACGGCACAGAGGCCAGGGTGGGGAGGAATCAGGACTTCCTCTGTTTATTTTGGCGTCACACGCAGTGCTTTCTGTGGCCTGTGGGCACCAGTCGTGTTACTGCTGCTGTTACTGCTACCGCTTCCCGGAGCTGCCACTTCATGGTTCTGCCTCAGCTCCACTTGGGCCCATGCATCCCCTTCCTGTAGAAGTATGTCTCACCCAGCTTCTGGTAACAGCCAGGACTAACAGATACCAGAGGGAGACGGGTGCTGGGAATAGGAGAGCTTCAGGTTGCCAAAAATGAGAGAAATGAAAGGAACCATCAGAAGGAATAATTACCCCCCTCTCCCAAGAAAAAACCCCAAATGTAGCAGTTGAGGGCATTTTAGATTACGTTGTGTTGTGTGAGCCTTACAAAGAACTTAAAAAGCAAAACCCTCAGAGCTTATACCCAGGAAGAATTTGCTTCTCAGTATTAGTGTCACTGTGCTTCATTTTTACATGACAGGGATAGCTAAATTTTACGTTAAGTTTCCTTTCTTCCCTTGACGGCTAGGAATCTCATTGCAAAGTTCCTATCTAATTCTTACAGCTTTTATTTTTTTTTGTCTGAACTATTTGATCCATAACTTTCCCTTCTCCTTTTTTTTTTTAGACAGAAAGCGAGAAATCACCCCCCAGGGGGGATGGTCACGCTGCAATCCCTTCTCCTCCATTCTCCTCTCGGGATCTTGGGCACGCACGCACACGCGCCCGGCGTGAGTTTTAAGCCACCGGGTCCGGGACACGAACCGCGGTCAACTACGTGGGAGTCCAGCGACATAGCCATTACGCTAACTGCTGGTTCCCCCTTCTCCCTTTTTTATTAACTTTTGTCTCTTTTTTTTTAAAAAAATTATTGGAATCGGCAGGTGATGTGGTGGTTAAGGGTGTTGGATTCCAATATGGCTGACTGTGTTTTGAGTCCTGGACCTGGTGGTTTGCTTTTTCATTTTCCCTCTCTCCTGTGCACTCTGTCTGTCTCTCCCTCTGGTCAAAAATTAAAAAAAATAAAGTTAAATAAAAAGAATTCTTTTAAAGAAATGAATTATTAATTTATTATTATTTTTTCAGACACCCCTTCTCCCTTTTTTATTAACTTTTGTCTCTTTTTTTTTAAAAAAATTATTGGAATCGGCAGGTGATGTGGTGGTTAAGGGTGTTGGATTCCAATATGGCTGACTGTGTTTTGAGTCCTGGACCTGGTGGTTTGCTTTTTCATTTTCCCTCTCTCCTGTGCACTCTGTCTGTCTCTCCCTCTGGTCAAAAATTAAAAAAAATAAAGTTAAATAAAAAGAATTCTTTTAAAGAAATGAATTATTAATTTATTATTATTTTTTCAGACATATTTTTGCTACAAGGCAAATGTGCTTGCTGGAGAGACAGAAAGTGAGAAATCCTCTCCCCAGGGGGATAGCCATGCCACAGTCCTTTCTCTTGGGATTTTGGGCACACACGCACATGCACCTGCTGTGAGTTTCAAGCCGCTGGGTCCAGGACTTGAACTGCGGTTGGTCATGTAGGAGTCCAGTGACATAACCATTGCACCATCTGCTAGTCCCTTATTATTATTACTTTAAAATTTGTCCAGGGAGAGACAGAGACAGAGAAAAAGTGAGAAAACAAGCCACCACGTCTGGGACTTGAAGTGTGGTCGGCTATGTGGGAGTCCAGTGCCTTCACCACCTTGCCACCTGCTGGTCCCATTAACCTTTGTCCTTTACTTTACTAATGGAGGTTTTTGGGTGTGTAGCAAACAGAAGTGGGAGGGGGAATAATACTTCTTTAAATTGTGGAAGATTATTGGGAATATCAACTCTAGAACCTAATGAGGGGAGGGGGGGGGTCAAGCTTCCTCGCCACCATTTGTAGAGACCCTAGACCTGTCCAGGTTATGATTCGCTGCCATGGCCCTGAGCCCCGAGTCGTCCAGACTGAGCCCTGGCAAGTTCCTCACTGTTCAGAGCTTCTTCGGAAAAAGGTCTTAGCTGAAGGAAAACAAGGCCGGCCCGCTGCAGCTGTTTGTCTTGGAGCTGAGCTCCCTGGCAGCTCCCCGGCAGCTCCCCCTGCCCTACCGGGGGTGGAGGTGGTGTCAGGGTTTCCACCCGTCACCCTCCTCTTGGTTTATAACCAGCCAGACAGGTCAAAAAGGATTGCTCGGCTTTGAAGTATTTTTTATCCTCTTTTTTACCTCCTTCATCTTCGAATAACAGTCTCAATGTATTTGCTTAGGGTAACACAATCCAAAATATTCATCGTTTCCCCCAACCTCCACCAAAAGAAGTATCCTTTGTGAAAATAAGTTATAAATCCTCCACCCATTTCTTGGTCTTAAAAGGCAGTTTCTGTGTCTCATATATAATAATAATTAAAATGAATGATATATTTTAGTAGCATTAAAATAAAATTTAGGACCAGCGATGGCATAATAATTATATTGCTAGACTCCCACGTAGTCGACTGCAGTTTGAGTCCTGGACCTGGTGGCTTAAAACTCACACCGGTGCATGTGCGTGCCCAGGATCCCAAGATGAGACTGGAGAAGAAGGGATTGTGGAGTGATCCTCCCGGGGGGGGGGTGATTTCTCACATTCTGTCTCTCCGTCTACCTCTGTCTCTCCAGTGAACACACACACCCAGCGTGAGTTTAAGACACTGGGCTTAGGACCAAACTGCTTTCAACTGCGTGTGGAGGTCCAGCGACATAACCATCACTCCATCTGTTGGTCCCCATATGGTCTTGTTTTATCTAGGGAAAAAGACAATGCCCAGAATTATTTGTATTTAAGTTTTATGATCAATCTTTATATGTTCTTAGAAATATACAGTGAATTGGGACCAGCAGTTAGTATAATGGCTATGTCGCTGGACTCCCATGTAGTCAACCGCAGTTCGCGTCCCGGACCCGGTGGCTTAAAACTCATGCCGGGCACGTGTGCATGCATGCCCAAGAGGAGAACCGAGGAGAAGGGAGTGCGATGCGCCATCCCCCTGGAGGGTGATTTCTCGCTTTCTGACTCTCTGTCTCTCTCTGTCTATCTGGCAAGCGCACACGCCCTATAGCAAAAACCTCTCTAAAAAAAGAAATACACAATGACTTATCTGTATTGAAAACTTATTTTTTGTAAAATTGGGCATAATTCACTGGAAGGATCAGCAAGTGCCTGTATTAATACCGTATGTGGCGCTCCTTGGAGTTGAGGGCCTCGTAAGACTTAACTTTGGAACCAGCAGATGGCCTAGCAGTTACGTTGCTGGACTCCAACATGGCCCACCATGGTTCGAGTCCCGGACCCAGCGACTTCAAAATCACACCAGATGCATGTGCATGCCCAAGATCCTGGGAGAAGAATGGAGGAGAAGGGATTGTCGTGTGACCACCCCTCCTGGGTGGTGATTTCTCACTTTCTCTCTCACCATCTCTCTGTCTCTGTCTCTGGCAAACGCACACTCTCTAAGGCAAAATCCTCTAAGAAATAAAACTAGAACAACCAAAGCAAGACTTAGTGTGGTGATGACACGTGGTGATCTTCAAGCTTAGGGCTCATCCATTTTCATGAACTCCTAAGAGAATGGTGGCCATCTTCTGTTTTTATGGAAAAGGTCATAGGTAGAGGAAAACGAGAAAGGTGTCCTTTAAATAGCTGCATGGCCATACCTCACCTGGTGCACATATAAAGCTTTCGAAAGAGCGAAGCAAAGGTTGAAGGTGAAGCATTTCCAAATCCAACAGTTTGACCTCTTACGTGGTGAGTGAGCCTGTGTCCCCTTTTCCCTTTGGCGATGGCTCTCTGAGTGCTTTCAACTCCCATGACAGGAGTGAAGAAAATGGCTTTGTGTTGTGGGCATTGAGATGCCAGATGCTTGGTCTTCGTCCTGTGGGTGGACGGGAAATGAAGAGATGGTAACAGTGAAAGCTGCTATTCGTTCGAGAGCCCTGAGGTTCCTCCCGCAGAGCCGGGCCCAGCCATGTGCATAGTCTGCAGCTCCTGTCAACAGCGCCTGTCTGCAGCCTCGTTGGCGCAGGGTGGATTCCAGCTTTGCAGGGGTTTAAACAGGGCCCTTCAGCGCTTCAGCACACCTGCGGTGGCCTCAGTGGGCTTGCACAGAGAATGCAGCTCGGAGACCGGGGTCTCCGGGTCGGTGGGAAGCCAGAAACAGTAGGGAGAGAGTGAACGGGATTCCACTGGCCTGGCTGCCCAGACGCACAAGGTCCAGGTCCTCATAGCTCTGGGCATTAGCTGGAAGGTCAGTTTGCGTTAGCAGATAGTTGCCCATTTTACTGATTTAAAGAATTGTTGATATATAGCTAAGATAAATAGAATATAGTAACTTCTATAAAAGGTGTGTATGTGAGAGAGAGAGAAAATAAAAAGGCTTCATGATAATGACTTTAATGATTTCTTTGCAGCTCTTGAGAAAGTCTATTTTACAAAGAGGAAAACCTGTGGTTGAAGGTTCTTTGGAGAAGAAACCCCCTTTTGAAAAGCCAAGTATTGAGCAGGTACAAGATACAGACATGCCATTTTTTATTGCGTTAAGGCTGGAAAGACCTTTCGATCTTCCTCTCACATGTCTACACCTCTTCCTTCAGTGCTCACACGCTCCGGGATATTCACCCAGTCTGTAGAAATTGTCTTGGACCTTAGCGATTGAATGTATATAAATAATAATATTATTAAATTAAATTAAACTGAACCAAAAAAAAAAAAAAAAGAAATTGTCTTGGACCCTTTGGATCCGAAATGCCTACTCAATACAGTCCATGACCTAGTCTTGGTCTTTGAGAGTTGTCATGTACTCAGAATCCCCTGTATATTTGAGGAAGAAAATATTACGTTTGACAGTAGTTTGCAAGGACTTGTGAAATGCGGTTTTTCTTGTTGCCATTTTAAAATGATGTCTTTGTCCTTTTGTGTGTCACTATCTGGAAAAGCCTATCGAGGTGAGGGAATTCAGGAGCAATGTGAAAAACGTTGGCAAGTCAAGCAAAAAATGTAAAAAGCAAATGAGATTTTGTAGTCAGAAAGCGACTTCGTGCAGCGTGACGATTCCCAGAAAGAAGCAGTTTTGCTCAGGGAACTTGTTCAAATGTACAGACGTTTTCTGCTAGGTGGTGTGGGTCTCGCTCATCAGCATCACGTTTTAACCTCGCATTGTTTGGCTGAATAAACCGCAAACACCTTGGACTGAATGTTTTGGTGAGAATGACCCCAGAAGACACGATAGAGTCCTAACAAATCAATGCATTTTTTTAATCAGTAGAATAAATTTTGTCTCCAAACTCTCTTAAATAGGAATCTATGGTTCTTTTTTTAAAAAAATTAATTAACGAATTAATTTAAATTGACCAGAGGGAGACAAAGTGAGAGAGAGAGAGAGAGAAAGAGAGAGAGAGAGAGAGAGAGAGAGGGAGAGTGAGAAAGTAAGCCTCCTGGTCTGGGACTTGAAGCATGGTCGGCCATGTGGGAGTCCAGCGCCCTTAACCACCTCCTGTTGGCCCCTGGTTCTTTTATTTGAAATTAGATGGGAGTTATTCAGTGCAAAGGCTAAATTAATCCACAGCTTCTAAAGAGAGCACATCATTTTGAATACCATTTTTTTTTTTTTTTTGTAAGCTTGCTGAAACCCAAAGTGTGATAGTAAAGGGTTTATATTTTTAGTGGCTTATTAGCCCAGGAGAAAACATGCTGGAAACCTTTCGATCATCCATTTCTTAATGTAAAAGCAGAGTATTTATCCATGAACTGAGTCATACATGAGCTTCTGTGCTGATGGCGGGGCAAGAATAATTCTGTAAAACACTCCTATTTTATCGTTCTTAAGGAGCTTTGACCTTTCAGAACGTGGTTTTGATGTCCTCTTTAACGCTTCAGGACTGTGGCGGGCATGGAGAAACAGCTCCTAGCCTCTCGTCTTGTCGGGTTTCATCCAGTGTGATCTGAAGTCAGATTCCTTCTGGGCATTGTTGGTTTCTTTTAGGGAAAAGGAAGGGATTTTTGTGAATAGAGAAATGTCTGTTCTTGCTGGCTGTGTGGGTGTTCCGGATGAGTACGACATGGCTGCATGAATCTGTTGCCTTCCCTCCTTTTCAGGGCGTGAATAACTTTGTACAGTACAAATTCAGTCACCTGCCATCGAAAGAAAGGCAAACCATAGTCGAGTTGGCGGAAATGTTCCTGAACCGTATCAATTATTGGCACCTGGAGGCCCCATCGCAACGAAGGCTGCGATCTCCCAACGACGACATTTCTGGTTACAAAGAGAACTACACAAGGTACGTGGCCGGCAGGTCCTTCTCCTTGGCCCCACGGGGCCCGGCCCAGATGTGGAACTGCTGCTTGTCTCTGCGAGTCGGGCTGCCCGGTTGTCAGGGAGCTGCAAGTGAACTCAGAGCGAAGGTCCGTGCGTTCAACCTGCACGGTCCCACTTGTCATGAATAGCACTGTAGTTTTGGGGTGAAGGATCCCAACTGTGTAGACCCAATATGGTTGTCCCCAGCCACACGTGACAGCTGAGTGTCTGCAATGTGCTTAGTTTGAATTGAGATTTCCAAGATTAAACAAAATAGTTTTTAAAAAACTCGTGTGTGTGTGTGTGTGTGTGTGTGTGTGTGTGTATTCTTTTTTCTTTTTTTTAAGTTTATTTTCTTCATGAGAAACACCCTCAGCAGGGTCTTCACACCATGACCACCCCTCTGCCCTGTAGCCTGCTACAGAGGGTGTAGACTCGCCGGAGAGACAGAGTTACAGAAAGTAGGAAATCCCCCAGAGGAGAGAGGGCCACGCTGCAATCCCTGCTCCTCCATTCCTGTCTCTCCCGGTCAGTTCTGGGACTCAAACTGTGGTCAGCTACGTGGGAGTCCAGCTGCGTAACCATTACGCCATCTGCTGGTCCCACTATTTACTATTATTTTTTTAATATAGAAAATTAAACTCTTTAACCTGTCCCTGGTTTGGTGCCATCCTCTGGGACTTCCACTGTTCTATTCATGTCGCTGGGCCTTGGGAGTTTCAGATCTTGCATCTCTGGGACACCCAAATGAAAAAGATGATTTTTGAATCGACTTTTACTCTCTAGCCCTGTTGGCTAAAGGAGCCTTCACAGCTGGATGATCCACATAGCCGGCGTACCCAGATCTGCGGTCAGATCTCAGGAAAATCCCCGGTTTCCCTCTGCTCTTGCGTGACGCAGGCATGCACTTCGACTGGGTCTGAGTCCCTGAGCAGTGTACCGGGGCGACAGGTGGTGGGAGCTTATTACTTCCTGTGTTGTGACTGTGTTTTGAACAGGCTTGGAGATCTTTATCTTCCCCCCAAAGCTCTGGTGATGTGTGAATGCTGAGTAGGCATTTTGAAGAAACCTTACATTTTATTTAAGGGACTAGGTAGAAGAATGTGGATTCTTCCACAAAGGGAGTTCTGCAGCTCCTTTAATTTTGTTCATTTTTTTAAAACCATGCCAGAAGGTCAGATTGCACTGTGCACTCTACACACAATCTCGTGTCTGTTTATGTACTGGGTCATCGAAAAAGTTGTGATGCATTTTTGCATAGAAACACGGAAAAATGTGATTTTTCCAATGACCTAATATATTTCATTTGGGTTTCCAAGAACCTAACCAAGTCAGTATTATTATTGCTTTTCTTTGATGATGATCTATTCAATTTGATTAATGATGATTACTTTATTTTAAAATTTGGTATAAGGCACATGTGCTCACCCGAGAGAAACTGAGAGGGAAGGGGGGAAGTGAGAAAGCAAGTCACCAGGTCCAGGACTTGAACCATGGTCAGCCATGTGCAAGTCCAATACCTTAACCACCATGCCAGTTGCTGGCCCCCTAGGCATTAATGTTGTCCTTATTTTACAGAAGAGGAAACAGAGACATGAGAATGTAATTCCATTTCCCAAGTTAAGCGGCAGAGCAGGGATTTGATCTCAGGCCTGTCTGACTCCAGGACTTAGTACGTGGTGCTGCAGGATAGGATGGTTTTAGAGTTGGACCCAGGCGGTGGCGTAAGAGCGAGCTCATGTAATTCCCACGCTTCACTGGCTGGTGGTGGCAGTGTCCTTGCCTCTGCAGGCCTGGTTTCTCCTGCGTGGCTGGTCTCTTGGCATTTCAGATGGCCTGGGGTTCGCAGGCTGCTGATGGTGCTTGTCTCCCTCCCTGGCAGGTGGCTGTGTTACTGCAACGTGCCACAGTTCTGTGACAGTCTACCTCGGTACGAAACCACCCAGGTATTTGGAAGAACACTGCTTCGCTCGGTCTTCACTGTGATGAGGCGACAACTGCTGGAACAAGCAAGACAGGAGAAAGACAAACTGCCCCTGGAAAAACGGACTCTAATCCTCACCCACTTTCCAAAGTAAGGAAGAGCTTTGTTTGATCCCAGGGCTTGAGGGTGCTAAACACACGATGAAGTCTGCATAAATACCAAGGTTGGAAATGACAGAGAAAGCCTTCTCGGGATGAGGGACACAGCCCTCAGCTCCCTCTGCAAGCTCGGATGTCTTCCAGGGTATTCATGAGCCGACTCGTGTCCGCGGCAGTCATGGCTCCCGTAGCCCTGCCTGGGCTGTTGTCACTGAGTCCCATAGACGGGGAATGCCTTTGTTTCATGTGTTCCGCTGTCAGGAAGCTGAGGATGCTGGGAAGAATGTGAAGATGAAGTTCCTATCTCTGCGGAAGAGCTGCAGGAGCATCCAAGTGGCCTTTCCCCTAGCCCTGTCCCAGCACCGGTGAAACACCCCTGCTGCTGCCGTGGTCAGCCTGCCCCCTTGGTCTGTGGAAACCAGACCACGAGAGGGGGGCTGGGTGGCCTAGGTCTCCACCTCATCATGATCTTTGCACCTTTAGACCCAGTTCCTTGTGCTTTTTGTTTCTTTGTACTGATAGAGGTCTAAGACATAAATAATCATTTTAATATTTTCAGCAGAAGGAAATGTGTCCAAGAAACAGGAACTTGTAGTGCCGCGTCGTTAGCCTTGAAAGGCAGTATCTGTTTTTAAATTTTGCCGGTGGGGATGCGTGCAAAAGCGTGTGTGTTGGGGGGATTAAGCACTGCCCAATGGGATGTCATCACACTCCTGTCCTGTCTCCTCCATTTCCTCATCCAGATTTTAGGCATGGACAGACACGCGCCCAGTGTATTTTTCAAGCCGTGGGAGCTGGGATTTGAACTGTGGTCAGTTATGTGTGATCCAGCTGTCAACGAGCAGCCCCAGAATTGCATTTTTAATGCTAAGAAGCAAAAATGTAAACCAACTGGCTGTTGGTGGGAGGAAGTGAGGTGTAGTTAATGAGTTCTCGTGGAGCAGCGATACCGAGACGTGATTGAGGCAGTTCGTTGTGTGGTTGTCATTCCGCTCCGTCACCAGCACTTGGTGGGAGGTTGGAGGTGGGATTTGAAAAGGCTCTTTCTTTAGGTGTGTGATATTGCCTTGCTTCCCTACCTTACCGAGAACTGCTGATAGAGAGAGTAGAACAAAAGGTATATTCTTTAATCAGAGATTGGTAAAACTTGTTTTATTCGAGACTTTTTTTTTTAATTAAGATTCTATTATTGAATTACTAATTTGCATCTCAGAAAAGATAGGTTTTTTTTTTTTTTTCTTTAGAGGTTTTTGCCTCAGAGCATGTACACTCCCTGGAGAGAGAGAGAGGAAGTGAGAAATCACCCCCTGAGGGAGATAGCCGTGCAGCAATCCCTTCTCTTCCATTTTCCTCCTGGGATCTTGGACACGCATGCACACATGGCTGATGTGAGTTTCAAGCCACTGGGTCGGGGACTTGAACTGTGGTTGGCCATGTGGGAGTCCAGTGATGTAACCACTGTGCCATCTGTTGGCCCTAGGAAGTTTTAATCCTTAAAATTAACATAGATCCAGGGCTGGCACCATGGTCTGGTGGTTAGGAGAGCTGGATCCCTCATGGCTGACCAAGCAGTTTGAGTCCTGGAAATGGCGACTTGAGGAACATGCCAGGCACATGTGTGTGGGTGCCTAAAATCCCAGAAGGAGGGGAAGATGGAGGAGAGGGGATTGTAGCATGACCATACTTGACGGGGGAGGGTGCTTCCCCCCATACACATGCCTTCTGACAAAAGAATAAGTAAATACGATAGGTACAAAATAATAATAGCAACGGATTGTTTTTCTCTTTTCTTTTTTTCTTTTTCTTTTCTTTTTTATTTTTAGAGAGGTTTTTACTATAGGGTGCTAGCACTTGCCAGAAAGGCAGAGACATAGAGAAAATGAGAAATCACTCCCCCAGGGGGATGACCACGCTGCAATCCCTTCTCCTCCATTCTCCTCTCTGGATCTTGGGCACGTATGCACACGCGCCCAATGTGAGTTTAAGCCACTGGGTCTGGGACTCAAACTGCAGTAGACTACGTGGGAGTCCAGTGATGTAACCATTATGTCATTACGCTAACTGCATTATGCCATCTGCTAGTCCAAGATTTTCTCTTTTTTTCCTTTTTCTTTTCTTCTTTTACTTTTTCTTCTTTTTTTCTGGAGAGAGTCTTTTTTTCTTTTTCTTTTTCTTCTTTTTTTCTGGAGAGACACAGAGGAGAAAGTGAGGAAGTACCAATCCTTTCTCTGTTTCCCTCTCGAGATTTTGGGCACTTAGGCACATGCACCTGGTGTGTTTTCAAGTTGCAGGGTCTGGGACTTTTATTTGAGAAACAGGTATTTTTATTTTTTGGAGAGGTTTTCGCTATTGGGCACGTGCGCTCACCAGAAAGACAGAGAGAGACAGAGAGCTAGAAAGTGAGAAATCACTCCCCGAGGGGGAATGGCCACGCCGCAATCCCTTATTCTCCATTCTCCTCTCGGGATCTTGGGCACGCACGCACACGCGCCCAGCGTGAGTTTAAGCTGCCGGGTCTGGGACTTGAACCACGGTCAACTACGTGGGAGTCCAGCAACATAGCCATTACGCTAACTACTGGTCCGAGAAACAGATTTTTATAAGATTCTATTATTGAATTCCTAATTTGCATCTCAGGAAAGACAATTCTGCACTTGGCCACGTGGGATCTGGCCGACTTCAGCACCACGCCTCCTGCTGGCCCACGAGCTCTGACTTCTGGGCATGCTCCTGTATTTCAGTGGCTACCTTTTAACTGACCTGTGCTCCTATTTTTAGAGATGAAAGCAATTTTCATGTTTATTTCTCTATTGTGTTTGCCACATAAGTAGTGTTTTATATTTTCAGATGATAATTGTCATTCTGTTTCTTTTTTTTTTTTTAAGAATTATTTAATATAATTTATTTATGTATTTAAATTTGGCCAGAGAGAGTCAGAGTGAGAAAGAATGAGAGAGATGGAAAGTGAGAAAGCAAACTACCAGGTCCAGGACTCGAACTGTGGTTGGCCATGTGGGAGTCCAGCGCCCTTAACCACCATGCCGCCTGCTGGTCCCAATTGTCATTCCATTTCTAAGTCAAGGGACAAGGGTCAAAGAGGCTCCCTTCCCCTAACACACGCCTGTTATGGTGCTTGAAGGGAATTTTGATCTTGCATAGTAACAGTTTCCTCCATAGCACATTCACTTGGCTTCTTGCAGATATTTGCTAATTATAGTGTGTTTTGTTCCTTCAACCTGTGTTTCTGGCGTGCTTACGCTGACGAGTTAGGAAATCGATGCCGCTGTCTTCGCTTCTCTGTTACTAATGGCAGGGTAAAGCTACCACCCACCTCTCCTTTAAGCCTCTTTTCATTGACTATGACAACATTCGAGGCTGTCGGGGATACAGGCCTGCTGTTTGGGCAGCAGAATCGCACAAACTGAAGTTGGGGCACGATTTCATCCTGACCACTGTCTCGGAGTGACCGGGGAGGTCCCTGTGACTCCCATATGCATTTTCAGGGTTTATATTCTTATCTTCCTGTTCTTCCACTTGGCCTTATGTCTTCCTCCATATCTACCTATGAGGGAACTTCAGAAAGTTCATGGAACATAGAATTAAAGTCAGAGTGTGTTTTGTTGCAGAAAGTCAATATCCATGCACAATTTTTTCGTATGTATTTCGATGAACTTTTTGGAGATCTCCCCAGTATTTACCAGCTTTTTTTTTTTTTTTTTTTTTTAAACTTGGTGATTAAAGGAGCTTGATCCCACTTGGCCAACTGTGATTTGAATTGTGGGTGCTCGTGCATGCAGGCCAAACCTCCTGACAGGATGTAGAAAGGGAGAGGGAGGGATTGCGGTGTGAGCCCACCTCATGGAGGTGTGCTTCCTCCCTCTTTGTCTCTCTGTCTTTCTCTGGTGGGTGCACATGTCCTCTGGCAATTAAAAGAAAAAGTTTGGGGCCAGCAGGTGGTGTAGTGGTTAAGGTGCTGGACTCCCATGTGGTTGATTATGGTTTGAGTCCTGGACCTGGGACTTGAAACTCAAATTGATCACATTTACGTGCATAACAAAAATCATGAGAGAATGGGGGAGAAGGGACTTCGGTGTGGCCATCCCCCCAGGGCGTGATTTCTTGCTTTCTGTCTCTCTGTCTCTCTCTCTCTCTGTCTCTCCGGCAAGCACACATGCCCTCTAGCAATAATCTCTCAAAAAAAAAAAAAAGAAGAAAAGAAAAGAAAAAGAACTTTAGCATGTGTATTTTGTCCTTAAAGTTAGAAAAGCACATGTTGATGAAAATTTGTTTCAGAGAGAAACAAAGACAACAAAGTCTACCCCCAGATCCTCAGACTCTAAACTACTTTTAGATATGCCTGTTTTTTTCTCTATTTAGGATGCCGAGGTGGGGCCTGGGTATCTATCTGTATTTCTAACAAGATCTCCAGGTGATTTTGGGGGCCCCCCAAACTTCAGATCCATTTGGTTAATTACATGATGGGAAGTTAGTGCAGTAATTAACCTCTGGTTTCAATCTTGGCCCCACCATTTAGAAGTGGTGGGAATCTGGACTGGTTTTCACCTCCTCTGTGAAATGGGGATAGCAATGGATTCTATCTTTGAGTGTCGTTATGAAGGTGAGATGAATTAGTATAAATCAACCACTTACAATACTGCCTCTTGTGCAGAAAGAGCTATGTGTGTGTGTGACAAATCAAAATAAAATATCCGCAGTGCCTTGTAGGGTTGATGGGAAGATTTCATCAGGAATTCTTAGCAGTACAAGCACAAAGAACGCCCTGAATAATTACTAGCGATGTTTATCGTGGTCCTCAACAGGCATCACAGCAGCCTGGAGGGCTGCTCTTGTACTGGGACTCCCTCAGGACGACGCGTCTCTGTTGATGCTGGTTCCTCCCAGGGATGAGGTGGGCGAGTGGAAGAGGGCAGCCGTGGGTCGCAAGATGGCAGATAATTCCCAGGGGGCCACACATCCTTGCCCTTGTCTCGAGTCAGCTGGTGACATCCAGTGGTGTTTTGTGAGCTTGGAAGACAGGTGCCTTCTTGAGTTACAGTGACTCCAGAAAGAGGGTCTGAGTTATGCCTTTGACATTAGGAAGACTTGATGGAGAGTTTTGGTAAGAAGTGCCAAAGCAGAAGTTTTTATCTGGCTGTGGAGAAAGGGTGAAATACCGATGTTCTGGTGATTGCCATAGATGGTGAGGGCTTTTCTTTTTTTTTATTTTATTTTATTTTTTTAATTTTACTATTGCTTTTGCTCTTGCATCTAGGTTTCTGTCCATGTTAGAAGAAGAAGTTTACAGTCAAAACTCTCCCATCTGGGATCAGGATTTTCTGTCAGCCTCTTCCAGAACCAGCCAGCTAGGAATCCAAACAGGTAAATTTCTTTGTGTGTAAATCAGAGGCCAACCTGAAGTGTTTCTTGCAGCTCATCCTGCATTTAGTCCTCATTTCTAAGTAGGACATTGAAGACCAGAGCCAGCAAAGCAGCAAACACGTTGGCAGTTTTTGCATCTGCATCCCTGTTAATGAGGAGAAAGCAGGTGCCAACCCGAATTTTACAGCTGAGTCTGTTAATGATGAGAGCAGTGCCAACCGAATAGTGGAAACAGCAAGAACTTCAGGGTTTGCTTAGTCGCACAATACAATTTCTTTTTCTTCATTATTCCAGAGGGAATATGTGACAGGAATCAAACTGCGGTCAGCCATGTGGGAGTCCAGTGCCCTTAACCACTGTGCCACCTGCCGGCCCCTGATGTCTGTCTCGCAGTCAAGTTCCCAAGGTGGGTGGGTGAGTGGATTTTATTTTATTTTATTTTTTTAATTTTACTATTGCTTTTGCTCTTGCATCTAGGTTTCTGTCCATGTTAGAAGAAGAAGTTTACAGTCAAAACTCTCCCATCTGGGATCAGGATTTTCTGTCAGCCTCTTCCAGAACCAGCCAGCTAGGAATCCAAACAGGTAAATTTCTTTGTGTGTAAATCAGAGGCCAACCTGAAGTGTTTCTTGCAGCTCATCCTGCATTTAGTCCTCATTTCTAAGTAGGATATTGAAGACCAGAGCCAGCAAAGCAGCAAACACGTTGGCAGTTTTTGCATCTGCATCCCTGTTAATGAGGAGAAAGCAGGTGCCAACCCGAATTTTACAGCTGAGTCTGTTAATGATGAGAGCAGTGCCAACCGAATAGTGGAAACAGCAAGAACTTCAGGGTTTGCTTAGTCGCACAATACAATTTCTTTTTCTTCATTATTCCAGAGGGAATATGTGACAGGAATCAAACTGCGGTCAGCCATGTGGGAGTCCAGTGCCCTTAACCACTGTGCCACCTGCCGGCCCCTGATGTCTGTCTCGCAGTCAAGTTCCCAAGGTGGGTGGGTGAGTGGAAGGGGGCAGCCCTGGGTCCGAGACTGTCAGGTACTTCCCAGCGTGGTCCAGGCTGCCCGCCAGTGCCTTGAGTCAGCCAGTGGCATCGGTTGGCATTTTATGAGGAAGGGGTTACAGTGATTCCAGAAAGAGGATCTGAATTTATGCCTTTGACGTTAGAAAGACTCAGTGAGCAAATTGGGTAAGAAATGCCCAAGCAGAAATTTGTGCCTGGCTGTGGGGAATGAGACTGCAGAATGTTGACGTTAGGAGTTTTTCAAGGAATTCTAGCTCAATGTGTAATATGGAGGGTTGCGAATGTTGCTTCCCACAAAGGTCATTTCACTCTTGCTTTAAACATTTTTTGAGGTGGGGCCAGCAGGTTGTGTGGTGGTTGGGGTGCTGGACTCCCACATGGTTTAAGTGGTTTAAGAAGGATCTGTGTATCCTATGATGTGTCAAGTCTGTGGTTCGAGTCCTGGACCTGGTGGCTTGCTTTCTCCTTTCCCTCCCTCCTCCTCCTCTCACTTTTGGTCTCTCTCTGGTCAGATTTTAAAAAATGATAATGATGGGGACCAGCAGATAGTGTAATGATGGTGTAATGGTTACGTTGCTGGACTCCCACGTAGTCGGCCATGGTTCGAGTCCCAGACCCAGCAGCTTAAAACTCACCCTGGGTGCATGTGTGTGTGTCCTAAATCCTGATGAGAATGGAGGAGAAGGGATTGTGATGTGGCCATCCCCTTGGGTGGGTGATTTCTCACTTTCCGTCTCTCTGTTTCTCTCTGTCTCTCTGGCAAGCACATGCACCCTATGGCAAAAATCTCTCAAAAAAGAAAAATGATAATGATGAATGATGAATAAAATGAAATAACCATTTTTTTGAGTTCTAATTTACACACAATCAAGTTCCTCATTGTTAGTGAGTTTTGATGAATCATGTACTTGGTTAGCCATCACGCCCATCAAAATGTAGGGCAGTCATGTCACTCCGGACAGATGCCCTGTGCTTTCATGTGTTCATTGTCTCGCCCCAGCCCTGGCAACCACTGGTCTGGGTTCTGTCCCAATCATTGTTATGTATCTCTGGTCCAAAGCCCACTGTGCTTTGTGGCCTGTCAGCTGTGATGTGCTCCCCCGAGGCCTGGGCAGTTCGTATCCACTGGACGCTGTCTCTGCAGTGCCTGGGCATGCCCTCTGCATGGTGTCCCTGACTTGCTGGTCACTTTAGCGCCGTCCTGATCTCCCCAGCTTTCAGAGGGCATCTCTATCACGCACGCTTGCCTTTCTCTTCTCATACCAGTAGCAAGGGCTGGATCTCTTTCCTTCCAGACTTTCACAGACCCTTGAAGGTACCTGTCTTTGGTTCTCAAGCATGGCTGCACAGTGGACTCCCTTGCGGAGATTTGAAACAGACTCATTTCTGAGTGTCATCCCAGTAGCGTGTGCGATTGGCCGAGGGTGTGGCAGGGACACTGACTCTTTAGAGCTCCCTGGATGATTCAGGTATGCGGCAGCGTTGGGACCCTTCTGTGTCACATGACGTTTGCGTCATGGTGTCCTAGCCTCATTTTCCTGTACGTCTTTCTCTGGGATGAAGGCAACTCCTTGCTGGTCAGAGATCCAGTTTTGCCACAAGAATGATAATAATCGATCCCTTTATTAAGTGCTTGCCTGTGACGTTTGCTTCATCACATAAAGCTTTCTTATAAACCCTGGGAAATTGGAATTATTTAAAAAAAAAAAAAAAAAAAACAACTCAGGAAAGAGCAACAAGTTGCCCAAGACCAGGATTCCTGAGTGGTGGAATCAGGTTTTGCAAGTCTGATTCCTGAGTCCTACGCTGTGTCTGGTGCTGGAGCTCCGGGCTGCATTGCTCTGCCGTGCTGGGCATGGCTGACGTGCCGTGTGCGCTCGGGGAAAGAACGGGTGACGAGCCAGGGCAGTGTCCTCCTGCAGGCGGGGGGACTCCAGTGCCATTGAGCATAGTCATCTCGGTTCTCTTCAGGAGGACTTCTCTGTCCTGAGAAATCACCCCTGAGGGGAGGGTGGCCATGCCCCAGTCCCTTCTGCTCCATTCTCCTCACGGGATTTTGGACATGCACACGCATGCCTGGCATGTTTCTGACGTCACTGGGTCTCGGGGTTGAACTGTGCATTTGGTTATGTGGGTTCCAGCCTCCTCAATCTCTGTGCTTCTGCTGGCTGTGCATTTGGTTATGTGGGTTCCAGCCTCCTTAATCTCTGTGCTACTGCTTGTCTCCTTTTACTTGTTTTCCAGAAGGTTGTGCTCCCCACAAAGAGAGACGGGAGAAAGCACCCCCTAATGGGGCATGATCACACTGCAGTCCCCTCTCCATTTCTCTACCCCCTAATGGGGCATGATCACACTGCAGTCTCCTCTCCATTTCTCTGTCTCGTTAGTACTTGGGGCATGCACACATACATACCTGCCGTGTTTTTGAAGTCACCGGGCCTGGAATTCAAACCAGGTAGTGATGTGGGATCCAGCCTCCTTAACCACCAGGCCATGGGCGGGCCCCGGCCACCTTGTTCCCTATCACAGCAGAGGATGGAGAAGGCAGAGATGTTGCTGTTGACCCTGTAGGGGGTCTCACGTTCAGTGCTGTGGCTACTCTCGTCACTTGGGTACATCAGATTGAGCCTTTAGTATTACCTGAAGCTGTCAGAAGTTGGCTGGTTTTCCTGTTCTGCTGTAATTGCAGTGTGCTCTTGTGGGGGGAAGAAGGTATAATCATCTACTTAATTGGCATGTCGGCACACCCATCCTACTGTGAGGAATGACATTCATGATGATGGCTCTGAAGTTGTGCAAGATCCTCACATGTCTTCTGAACGACCAGCACCCCGCCTTGGTTCAGAATCACTCCATATACCAATTCAGAAGCCAGGAATGCTGGAGGAAAAATCGTACAGCCTGCCACTCTAGTACATTCTGACCTTTCACATACCAAGAGTCATTCAGTTCCAAGTGGCTTAGGGGCTCCCTGTTGCTCAGTTTGCTTATTTCAACACCTTCTTGGCTGCTAGGAATGTCCTCTGCAAACTGACCTGTGGTTACGGTGAAACTGAGAGTGCGTTCTCGGGGGGCAGGTGTCTCCTCGGCCATCCTGTGTCCTGCATGTGACCAGTGGTACCGGGAACGTTCACACAGCACCCCTCAGCTCGTCAGCTACACAGCATAGCACGACCAGCAAATCCGAAACCTCCCTGGTGCAGTGGCTTTAAAAAACAAAACAAAACAAAACTTTTTATCTGGAAATACTGTCAAACTTACAGAAAAGTTAAAAGAATGGGGTAAAGAAATGTATATTTATGGCCTGAACCCAGATTGTCGGTTTTGCCTACTTGTGTTATTCCTCCTTCCACACCCCCCACGTCTGCCCACTTCACTCCCTATTATTTCTCCCAGATTAGTTGAAATTTGGAAAGTGAAATCAGCCCTGATTTCAGTCGCCTTCTCTCAGGGCCATGAACATTCTCTGACACAAACACAATCTGTCCCAATGCAAAATAATGACAAATTGGGAGTGGCGGGTATATGGATGGCCTTCACTTAATCAATACACATTGTATTCTTATACCGAAAAATCACATTGACCTCACACATATGTACAACTGTTATATGTTATTATTTATTTTTTCAAAAGAATTATTTTTATTTAACTTTATTATCATCATTTATTTTTTTTTTAATTTGAAAGACAGAGAGTGAGTGAGGTCAAAGCAAGCCACCAGGGTCAGGACTTGAACCACAGTCTGCCTTGTGAGAGTCCAGCACCCTCACTCACCATGCCAACTGCCAGCCCTAAATAATATAATTCAGGTCAGCAAATTTGACATTTTTGTTTAAAGAATTATTTTAGTTAACTTTATTTTTTTACTTACTTATTTTAATATGACCAGAGAGGGACAGAGTGAAAGAGAGAGAGAGACAGAGAGGGAAAGTGAGAAGGCTAGTGGCCAGGTCTGAGGCTTGAACATCAGTCAGCCATGTGGGAATTCAGCACCCTTACCCACCATGCCACCTGCCGGCCCCAGCAAATTTAATCTCAGTACATACTGTTGCCTTGCCCAGCCTCAGTCGTGCAGGCAGCCGTGTACTGAACTGCAGTGCTGGAGGCCACATGGCCACTGGGGGTCTGGATCCCGAGTCAGACTGCAAACACCCCGGGCACAGCGTGTGCACATGCCCAAGACCCTGCCAGCTGTGGAGGGCCGGGGGAAGGTCACAGCATGACAAGACCCCGTCAAGGTCGTGGTCTCTCTCACGCACAGTCATGCACTGTCTCATGAACATCATAGATATGTTTTTAAAGTTGTCATCTAGTTTATAGATGTCTGCTCTTGTCTCTTGTTTCAGTAATATGGTTACAGGGCTGGCTCAGCGGTGCAGTAGTCATGCACTCTCAGGAGACGCCAGATCCCACATGGCATCTGTGGTTCGAGTCCCTGACCTAGTCAGCCGGAGACCTCCAGGCACAGGTGCAGGTGCCCGAGAGCCGAGGGACTGGAGAACTGGAGGAGGGGTGTGTGTGACCATGTCCTGTGGGCATGTCCTAGCTCTCATGCGTGTGTGTGTGTGTGGGTAAGCTATGCTCATCATCATGTGTGCATGCACACACTCCGTCATGGGTAAAGACAAAAACATGGGACCAGCAGATGGCATAGTGCTTATGTCGCTCGACTCCCACATGGCCGACCATGGTTCAAGTCCTGGACCCTGCGGCTTGAAACTCATGCCGGGCGCGTGTGCGTGTGTGCCCGAACTCCCAAGAGGAGAATGGAGGAGAAGAGATTGCAGCGTGGCCCTCCCCTCTGGGGGGTGATTTCTCACTTTCTGTCTTTTAACCTCTGTCTCACCAGTGAGCACGCACGCCCTGTAGCAAAAATCTCTCAAAAAAAGAGAAGAAAACAATTGAAAAATTTATAGTGGTTGGTGGCAATTTCCCCTCACATCAGGAAGTGTATCATGTCAGCTCGTTCTCTTAGGCGTTTTTCACCAGCTTTCTCCAGTGTCGTAATGTTATCACTTTTCCTCTTGTAATCAAAAAGCACTTTTTAAAAGTTTATTAATTTGTTCCATGAAAGAGACAGAGACAGAGAGAAAGTGAGACAGAGATGCAGGCACTCCAGCAGGGCCGCCACAGCACGGTCTGACCCCGCCTCAGCTGGCCTGATTTCTCAGGTCACGGCACACTCGTCGTGTCCTGGGGGTAGCCCGGGACAGGGACCCTTCCTCTGAGGCCCATGGGCATTATCACTGTGCCAACTCTGGTCCCATAATCAAAGACTGCGTTAGCAAGGACATACTTTGAGACTGTTCAAATACCCGGTCTTCATCGAAATGACATTGCACCTGCAGAAACGATCTTCCCTGAATCAGTTATTTATTTTTAAAAAAGAATTATTTTACACAAAGTTCATTCAATCCAGTTTTCCAAAACGTCCTGTTGAATTTTCAGTTTCATAATGCTTTAGTGGACTAAAACTATCGAGAGCTTCATAATATCCATTATAATGTTTCACCGTAGCATGTTTAAGAGAGAATGAGCAACAATCGAAGACATTTGCAAGCCACTCCTCTCTTTTCTTCTAGGACAAACACTGAACAGTGACCGTCAAAAGTCACTGGCAGGCAAATAAAGAAATAAAATAATTGTTCTTTTTCAAACGACAATGGTTGCACCCATACGAAATTGAGTGTCTAACTATGCTTGATCTTACTAAATGGAAAAAGAAAGAATAACAAAGGCATCACACAACAAAAAATAAATTATTCAATTGTATTTATAATACAATGAAATCTACACGATCTCGCTGAAAACATCTGCCCGCAGATGGCTGCCTCGCTGTGAGCAGATGTCACTTCAAAGAATTTTAGACAACAGTGCAAGAAGAGCGTTCCAAGTATAATCTTAATATACATATTTATAACCTTTATATTTATATGTTACCCAATGGTCTGGTGGCACAGGTCCATTTCTATCTGGAATTCAATTTCCTTTTGATCGCCTTGATCTGCCTAACAAGTTTCAAGTAACTGTGGCCTCCGCCACATCTGAAGACTGAATGGATTTGGCAAGAACAAAATAAAACTGATTTTCTTCTTCAGCCACTTGTCAAGGTTATTCTTTGCTATTTATTTGTTTCTTTATTCCTCTGGCTCCAAGATCTATTGTTTTGGAAGGCCATGTTTGATGTAGAGACACTTAAGCCAGGGTTATCACCTGGAAACCAGCAAGCAACAGTGATAACCAAATGTGTCAGTTGGTTTTGCCTTAAAGAGCATTTTGGGAAAAAAGTGTTTTCTGGTCTTCACTTGCAATGGAAAATTGAAAACTGAATCTTGGAAGAAGGGTGGCATAGTGGCAAAATGTGATTCTTTGTGAGGCAATTCACATAAAAACATCCCTGGTTCGAGTCCGATGCTCTCTCCGAGTACTCTGGGCAAGTGCCCACGATCTGGGCGGGCTGAAGGCTGGGGGTGGGTCGTGGTATCAGGGCTCTGTTAGGGATACAACCTTTCTCTCTCTCTCCAATTCTCAATCATGGCAGAAGTAAATAAATAAGCAGTTTTTAAATAGTCTAGCTAAATTAAGATAGAAATAAATAAAACATTTAAAAAGTGAACCCTGGGGACCAGCAGTTGGTGTAATGGTTATGTCACTGGACTCCCATGTAGTTGACTGTGGTTTGAATCCCGGACCCGGTGGCTTGAACTCATACCAGGTGCGCATTTGTGCGTGTGTGCCCGAACTCCCAAGAGGAGAATGGAGGAGAAGAGATTGCAGCGTGGCCCTCCCCTCTGGGGGGTGATTTCTCACTTTCTGTCTTTTAACCTCTGTCTCACCAGTGAGCACGCACGCCCTGTAGCAAAAATCTCTCAAAAAAAGAGAAGAAAACAATTGAAAAATTTATAGTGGTTGGTGGCAATTTCCCCTCACATCAGGAAGTGTATCATGTCAGCTCGTTCTCTTAGGCGTTTTTCACCAGCTTTCTCCAGTGTCGTAATGTCATCACTTTTCCTCTTGTAATCAAAAAGCACTTTTTAAAAGTTTATTAATTTGTTCCATGAAAGAGACAGAGACAGAGAGAAAGTGAGACAGAGATGCAGGCACTCCAGCAGGGCCGCCACAGCACGGTCTGACCCCGCCTCAGCTGGCCTGATTTCTCAGGTCACGGCACACTCGTCGTGTCCTGGGGGTAGCCCGGGACAGGGACCCTTCCTCTGAGGCCCATGGGCATTATCACTGTGCCAACTCTGGTCCCATAATCAAAGACTGCGTTAGCAAGGACATACTTTGAGACTGTGCAAATACCCTGTCTTCATCGAAATGACATTGCACCTGCAGAAACGATCTTCCCTGAATCAGTTATTTATTTTTAAAAAAGAATTATTTTATCTAACTTTATTTATTTTAATTTGACCAGAGAGAGAGAGAAAGCCACCTGGTCTGAGACTTGACCCCCGGTCAGCCATGTGGGAGGCCAGCATCCTTAACCACCATGCCACCTGCCACCCCCCCAATCAGTTATTATCCAATACTCGTCAGATGGTGAATTTTTAATGAATTACATCATTTCCTCTTTTATGTTGCCATTCTTCTATGAGAAAGAGCTTTGCCTTCTCCTCACTTATTATATCAATATAGACTCACTTTTAAAATTTTACTCGAGTTATAATCTATTACTCTTTGTTATCCTGATGCTCTGTGTGTTCTTTTTAAAAAAGAATTATTTATTTAATTTATTCATTCACTTATTTTAATGTGACTAGAGAAAGACACAGAGGAAGAGAGAGGGAAAGTGAGAAAGCAAGCCACCAGGTCTGGGACTCAAACCGTGGTTGGCCACGTGGGAGTGTCTAGTACCTTAACTACCATGCCACCTAATGCCCCCCCTTTTTTTTGCTTTGTGACGTTTATGTTGAAGATGGCTTCTGTGTGGTGTTGGGCAGGAGTGGGATGGTCTCCACTATGCTTGTTTCCTGGTTGCCTAGGACAGTAGTAACCTAATGGCATCTTTTCCTTCCCTCGGGGCAGTTATCAGCCCGCCTCCTGTGGCTGGGACGATTTCATACAATTCAAACTCGTCTTCCTTGGAACAGCCAAATGGAGGGAGTACAAGTCCTGTTTGCAAAGCCTCTTCTGGGCTTGAGGCAAGCCCAGGTAAGTTCTTAAAAGATGGAGAGAGAGTGGTGTGATTCTTTTTTTTCTTTAAAGAGAGGTTTTTGCGATAGGGCACGTGTACTCATGGGAGAGACAGAGAGACAGAGACAGAAAGTGAGACACCATCCCCCAGGGGATGGCTTTGCCACAATCCCTTCTCCTCCATTCCCCTTTTGGGATTTTGGGCACACATGCCCAGTGTGAGTTTTAAGCTGCTGGGTCCAGGACTCAAACCATGGTTGACTGCGTGGGGGTCAAGCAACATAACCATTACACCATCTGCTGGTCCCAAGAGGGCTGCCTTTTTTTTTTTTTTTTTTTTAGAAAATGGTCACATATTAATTATTTTATTTAACTATTTATTTATTTATTTTTAATTTGACCAGAGCGGGACAGAGTGTGAGAGAGAGAGAGAGAGAGAGAGAGAGAAAGTGAGAAAGCAAGTTGCCAGGTCCAAGACCCGAACCATGGTCGGCCATGTAGGAGTCCAGAGCCCTTAGCCACCACGCCACCTGCTGGCCCCCAGAGGGCGGTGTTTGTCTCAAGAGCTCCACTATCTTAGAAGGACTGAAAGCCAAGTTGGACCCACTAGAGAGAGTACATATCCAGGACTGCAATGGCTGGAAGTCACTTTGGGTTGGGCTTTAGACTTTCTCTCTGTACCTCTCTGTTTCTCTCCTCTCCGGTAAGCACACACGCCTTGTGACCAACTAAATAAATAAATAAAGTACATAGACATGTATATGCGTACATATACACATATTCACACAGGTATGGGTATGTGTGTATCTGTGGAGGGGGACTTAGTAGGACTGCAAGGAGCAATAATCTCAGCGACCAGTGGTCAGAGGTTTGCACGAACATCTCTGAGTAATTCCTAGATCAAGCAGAGAAAACATCAGTAAAGATCTAGACTCGAAAACCGTGATCAACAAACGTGAGCTAATGGATGTGTAGAGGTTACCGAAAATACTCATTTTGGACCAGCAGGTGGCGCACTGGTTATGTCACTGGATGCCCACGTAATTGGCCATAGTTCAAGTCCCAGACCCAGTGGCACGTGTGCGTGTGTGCCCAAGGTCCCGAGAGGAGAATGGAGGAGAAGGGATTGCGGCGTGGCCATCCCCCTGGGGTGGGGGGAGGTGATCTCTTGCTTTCTGTCTCTCTGTCTCTGTCTTTCTGGCGAGTGTACATGTGCTATAGCAAAAACCTCTCTTCAAAAACAAAACAAAACAAAACAAAACTGTGAGTTTTAAGCCACCAGGTCTGGGACACGAACCGCGGTCGACTACGTGGGAGTCCAGCTACATAGCCATTACGCTAACTGCTGGTTCCCAGCAACTTAATCTTTTTAAAAAGGCTGCACATTTACAAAAAAAATTGTTTTTATTTTATTAAATTTAAGAATATTTATTTATAATAGAGTGTATGAGTGTGTGTGAGTGTGTGTGTGTGTGTGTGTGTGTGTGAGAGAGAGAGAGAGAGAGAGAGAGAGAGCAGTGAATCGAGCCGCCAGGTCCGGGACTTGAAATGCAGTCGACCATGTGGGAGTCCAGTGCCTTAACCACCATGCCACCTGCCGGCCTCAAATTTTGTTCTGATTTTAAGCCATAGAGTAAATTTCAGGAGTTTTTACTTTTTGCTGTTAGTGGTGTTTGGTATTAGGATCATGAACTTTGACCACAGAGAGACCATATTAGAGATGATACTAACCAGCAATAACTAGACTTGCCCTTCACATTTGCAAATGAAGAAACACATGTCTTAATACTTGCTGTATCTAGAAAATACTCACAGTGGCTCTGCACTTGGTGGTGATTGTAACCTTCTCCTCTCTTTTCCACCTCCCACAGCCACCCCGTCCTCTGGTAAGGCACTGCTAATCTCTATACCCATCAACGCTATTAGAAAATTAGTTGGATTGGGACCAGCAGATGGCATAATGGCTACACTGCTGGACTCCTATGTAGTTGACCGCGGTTTGAGTCCCGGACCCGGTGGCTTAAACTCACGCCGGGTACGTGTGCGAGCGTGCCCAAGATCCCGAGAGGAGAATGGAGAAGGGATTGTGGCATAGCCATCCCCCCTGGGGGGGGATTTCTTGCTTTCTGTCTCTGTCTCTCCAGTGAGTACACACACCCTATAAGGAAAAAAACCTCTCTCTTTAAGAACGAAAAAGAAAGAAAGAAAGAAAGAAAGAAAGAAAGAAAGAAAGAAAGAAAGAAAGAAAGAAAGCAAGATAGATTAGTTGGATTAGCTGACATGTATTATCTGTTAATTGTTTGCCTTTTATTTTGATCCTAATAGGAGAAAAAAGGAAAATGAATGACTCCCATGTTGTGGAGGAGGCCAAGAAACCCCGAGTTATGGGGGATATTCCGATGGAATTAATCAACGAGGTTATGTCTACCATCACAGACCCTGCAGCCATGCTGGGACCAGAGGTCAGCAGGGTCGACGTGGGCAGCCAACTGGTAGACCCTTTCTGCTCTTCTGGCTACTCTAGCTGTCTATGGGGGTGGTGACACTGAGAGTTAGCTAGTTCTGCTACCCAGATTTGCTTTTAATCTGGTGGTAGGAGTGGACAGGGCAGGTGCTTCTTCTTGTCGAATATCACACCCAGGGCTACATACTGATAATCTCATATTATTGAAGGCATCTTCCACCGTAATTGATTATCCTGAAGAATTTCAAACCCTCGTAAATGTTTTGAAAATTCATTGATAAAGATCCATAGACTCTTGGGCCAGCAGATGGCATGGTAGTTAAGGCACTGGATCCCTCATGGCCAGCTGTGCAGTTTGAGGCCTGGACTTGGTGACTTGAAAAACGTGCAGGGCACCTGTGTGTGTGTGCCCGAAATCCTGAGAAGATGGAGGAGAAGGGATTGTGGCATCGCTATTCCCCGGGAGTTATTTCTCACTTTCCCTCTCTGGGTTGCTCGGTCTCTTTCTCTGGCAAGCTCATGTGCCCCATAGCAAAAAACAAACACACACAAGCAAACAAATATCAGTCACCTAGATCCCGTGATTGTTAACATTCAGCCACATTTGCTTTCTCTCCTTCCTTCTCTGTCTCTCACCATGTGGAACTATTTCACACTTACAAACAGATGTTATAACACTGTATCCCTAAACATTTTCACAATGTATCTCATTTAAAAAGACTCTCCTCTTACATAGCTACAATGCAGTTATCACTCTTAGGAAACTTAACAAGGTTACAGTATTTTCTAACACAGTGGGTTGCCAAACTAGCTTCCAAACCAAGTCTGCCCCACTGGCTGATTTAGTTAATACAGCGATCCTGAAACATTTTGTCTACCATGTATAACAGCAAATTCGAATAACTGAGACGGGGAAGGTGTGGCGTGAGAACATGAAATATTTATTATGTGACCCTTTACAAAAAGGTTTTCTGACCTCTGGCTTAATATGCAACCTATGTCGGGAACCAGCAGTTAGCGTAATGGCTATGTCGCTAGACTCCCACATAGTCGACCACGGTTCGCGTCTCGGACCCGGTTGCTTAAATCTCACGCCGGGCGCGTGTGCGTGCGTGCCCAAGATCCCGAGAGAATGGAGGAGAAGGGATTGCGGCGTGACCATCCCCCCTGGGGGGTGATTTCTCGCTTTCTGTCTCTATGTCTCTGTCTGTCTGGCGAGCGCACGTGCCCTATAGCGAAAACCTCTCAAAAAAAAAAAAATTGCAACCTATGTCTAAATTCCTCATGTTTCCAAAATATATCTTTTATAACATTTGTTGCTGCTGTTGAAGGATCACTTAAGGATCCATATTGCATTTAGTTCTTATTTCTTCATCCTTTAGTCTCCTTTAATTTAAAACAATTCTCTGGTCCCTCTTCGGTCTTCTGCAACAGTGCCATTCTTAGCTGTTAGTCTTGTATAAAATCCCTCTATTTAATCAGTCTGTAGTTATAATGATTTGATTCTAGTAGGACATTTTGGTGAAAGGACTGCTGTAAGCTCGTTAGGTTGCATCCAGGGAGATGTTGTTTGAGACATTTCTGACAGTGCCTGAGAAGTGGAGAGAGTTTAGCGATTATTTTGCAAATATCTTTTTTATTTTTAGGGTGTACCTGCTAGATTATCAGTTTTTAACTTTTCATATTTTTTTCTGTTTATCTTCTGATACTGAGGACAATTCAGAGAACTGAAATATGGTAATAGAAAGGTCCTACCATGACATTGTTCTCTTTCCGTCTAGACATCCAGTCTGTGGGGACTTCAGACTCCGGTATCTTTCGTACATGTGTCCTTGAGAGATTTAGTAACTTGATAGATTCGCTGAGCTTATTTTTTTTTCATCTGTAAAGTGGGGATGCAATCACACATTGCAAAAACATTTTGGAATAGACTTTAATGTGTTGCAACTGCTCAATGTGTCCTGACTTAGGAAAATTGTTGAATTTTCAGAAATTCATGAGTTGTTTGTTATATAAGTTGACAGCTTGAAGTTGGCCTTAATGACACGTGGTCCCCCAGACAGCCCCTGTAGATCCATGAGATGAGCAAGCGCTACCAGTGAGGGCGTTTCTTCCCTGGAGAGCTGTTTGTTGAGCATTTACCACACACTGGCCTAAATAGGAGGGCACACAGGTGAGCTGCCGGGGTGTCGAGTGTAGGTCAACAGGAAATCCTTTGGAAAGGAGACCATCCTCTGAACAGGGGTGACTGTCATGAGGATGGCTGCTGCTACTGGGCCTGTAGTGAGAATTTGGCATCTTCATCCCAAGGGCAGCTGGATGGGATTTCTCTACATCAGGGCTTGGCAATTGGTAACCCACAGGCCAAGTCTGACCTGTTGTTTGTTTAGTATTTTCTTCTTAAAAATATTTATTTAATTTAATTTATTATTATTTTTTTTCTTTTGCTGTAGGGTGCACAGTGTACTTATCAGAGAGAGACAGAGAGAGAGAGCAAGTGGGAAAGGGCACTGCCAGGTTCAGGACTCGAACTGTGGTCGGCCATGTCAGTGTCCAGCACCTAACCTCCGTGCCACCTGCTGGCCCCTATATATTTTATTTTCCCTGAAAGAGATACTTTTTTTTTTTTTCTTGCAGGGGTGTGT